GGTTTTTTCATCTTATTCATCAGCTGCCAGTATTTCTATCAAAACGAGATCCAACGGCTCATAATGAGCCATCTTTTAGGGTTAGAAGAAACACTTACTGTCACTTGTGTAGGATCTAACTTCTCAATCCGATTTTTTTGGTGGAGTAATCCCTTTGTGGGAAAAAGATTTCAAAACCAAGAAAAACGCAAAAGAAGATAGTGTTTTAGTTAAACTAAAACATTAAATTTATGTCTATAAATTCTGCAAAAAATAAGAAAAAAATGGGCTAGATTGACAGAGAAAAACAAAAGGACTTTCGAAAGAGAAAAATCAATAAAAAGACGGTTTTTTTTACCTTTCCGATTTTGTCTTGTGTGCTTGCAGGTGTTTGGTCTTTGTGTTTTTTTGTATCGAAAAACCACCACGGATGGAGCAAGCCAACGATCGGAAGAGGATGATTGCAAAAGATCCTTCTCAGATCTGAGTGCCATCGGAATTTGGATTTCCTTTGAACTCCAACAGAATGTTCTTCTGAAAATGAAAGAACACAAAAACATTCGAGAGAGAAAAAGGTGTTTGATTCATTTTAGGTAGGGAAGGAAAAGAGAATTTTGTTTTTAAAATTTGGGCTTTATAGTCGACCAGATGACCCATTTGGATCCACACCTGACAAATGGGTAGGGTATAATCACTATCTCAATCCCTATATCTTTTAGGAAAATTTCAGTTTGGCCCTTTTGTACTCAATTTCAATTTTATGTCTCTTAATTTAACCCATTAATCCCATTTACATTATAATATTGTCCGTCGCTTATTTCGTTTATTTATTTTTTATCAAACTTTTTCTCTGCTAAAAAAGTCGTTCCCTGCCTTTAAATTTATTCATTGTTTCTTTAAATTATTTTCCTTTCTTAATTTTGTTTTTCGTTTTTTTCTTTCACAATTCAATATTCCGTTAATGCATTAAATTTACGCCAATAGTGTTTTGTTTCTTATTTTATTCGTTATTTCTGTTTATGTAATTTTTTGGGGGGTAATTCTAGTTGTTTGCTTATTTATGACTTTTTACATTCGTTATAATTTCGAATTTAGTAATTATTTTATAACAACAGGTACATTTATGATTGTTCACGGTTCCTGAATTTAGGTAACGTGAATTTAGTAATTAAGAGATTTTTTTAAAAGAATGTTTTAGTTTAATTATTCGATTAAAATGGATTAATATTTAGAGCCTTAGTTTTATGTTTAGGTTCTTTAATTAATTTATTCGCGACTTAGATGAAGCGTTGATTTTAGTTTTAGCCTTTTTGAAATTTAAATTAGTTTAATTATTCAAATAAAATATTAAAATCTTTAGATTTAATGCTAGAGCCTCAATTTTAAAATTAGTTTAATTATTCAAATAAAATATTAAAATCTTTAGATTTAATGCTAGAGCCTCAATTTTAAATTAGTTTAATTATTCAAATAAAATATTAAAATCTTTAGATTTAATGCTAGAGCCTCAATTTTAAAATTAGTTTTATTAAGTCCTTTAAAATTCATAATTTGGCACTTTAGTTAGACAAAACCTTTATTAACCCACTTACTATAATTAGGTTAAGAATTGATTGTTTGATTGCATAATTTGTTTTCAAAAAATAAAGGCAATTGTTTGTTTATTAGGGCTTTAATAATGTATCATTCGCTTGTGTTCTGGGTGACCGTTACTATCTCTCGAAATAAATCGACATTCTTTTCAAATTCTTACATCATAATTTCAAAACTAAGACAATATTATTTAATGAGATTAATAGTAAACTTCCGCTTGTGTTCGGGGTAATTATTATTAATGTCTAATTAAATAAATACCCTATTCACATTTCCATACAGAATGGGTCCAAAATTAAATAAAATTTCGAACTCATAATTTTCAATTTTAAAAACAAAATGTAATCAACTAGGTATTAATTTTGGGCGTTGTGAGAGTGTTTACCATTCTCCTCACGTCACCGACTCCTGAATCCGCTTTCTGATTTCATGGACCAAACTTGATAGTTTTTATAAAAAAAATTTTTGTTTAAATTACCTTATTTTATGTAGTCCAATCCCACTCTAAAAATATTTGGTGGCGACTCCTAGTATTTTTACAATTTTTTTAAAAACCCGTCATCGATCGTAAAAAGGTCGTTATGACAGATACAATTAACTTGGTCAGGTCGGGTCAATGATTTTTCACCTTAAAATCGACTTCTCCCTCCCCAAAATTTTTTATCATATAACTCGTTCCGTCCCACCCCAAATCTCAAAATTAAAAATAAAGCCCCTATAAAGTCTAATCGATTCGGGACCATGAGATTCAAGTATTTTGACCTCCCTAATTAGAAGCCTTTTTGTCTTCTCTTTTTTAATAAAATGCCCAAAATAGAGAGAGAGTAAAATTTCAATTTTATCCTAAGACCAAAACAGCAAAAACGATGTAGAAGACAATAAACTCCTTTCTCTCTCCTCTTTACCGACGTTTCTTTCATCCGATGTAAATTCAACAACAGTAATGATAGAATCAACAAAGAGGAAACCAGAGCAGCCATAGTAAAATAATGGGTAAATTGTAAATTTAATACCTAAACTATCAATTTTATTTTATTTTAATACCTAAACTTTCATTTATTTAATTATACCTAATGTTTATTTTTTTGTTTCAATTAGTGATTCACTGCTAAAATCTTAACAACACTGCATTTTTATAGGCAAATTACATCATTTATCAATCAACTATCTTCTAACTTCTATTTTAGTTACTAAAGTTTAAAAAATTTCAATTTAACAACTCAACTTTCAAATTACTCCTATTTTAATCACTCTAATTTATTTTATTAATACTTTTATGACATGAAATTTATTATTATTGTTTTATTAATATATATAATAAAAATAAAAATAAAAATTTGGAAGTTAGACTGAGTAAATTATGAGTAATTTGAAAAGATTAAGTAATTAAATTAGAAATAAATAAATTTTAGTGATCAAAATAGGAGTTAGAAGATAGTTGAATGATGAATGATATAATTTAACAATAAAAAGGTGTCACGTTCAACAATATCATCAATATTTTAATGGTAAAGTACTAAAACGAAATAAAAATAAATATTATATATGATTTTGAAATAAATAAAATTGAAGAATTAAAACAAAATAAAACTAACGATTTAAATACTAAATATGTGTTATTAACAATATAACATTATCAAACCTAAACACAAACATCATGATAATTACAAAACCTCAAATACATGTCATCATTCCTGGAATTTAATCTCATAATTAATAAAATCTTTTAAAAAATTATTTTGCTATGCAATCGGTTGCTAGTTTTTGGTGCGGCTGCTCCCGTTACTGAAGAAAATTATTAGATAGACTTGATTTAATACGTTATAGATTTGGCCTACTACGTTATATGTGATCTCATATAATAACATAATAATTATTGTATGAAACTCTATGTTATCTTACAAAGGGATTTTCTTTTTTATTCTAGTTATTTCTAGTTGTTTCTATATTAACCAAAAATAAATAAATAAAATCTTATAATAATTTGACATAGAGGTGATTAGATGTTTAACATATGGACATAGCGGCGACGTTTTATTGACTTAAATATCAAATCATTAAAATTTAATACTATTAATTAGAAATATCAAATCATTTAATTTCCAAATGTAAGGACTAATTGGGTAAAGACAGTTAGATATCAGGTACAAATGGTTCAGTTTGAGTACCAAAGTATATACTAATTCTTATTTGTGTAAATTTGTTATGTTTTGTGCGTAAAGAAAATTTAAATTATTTTAGGTTTAAACTTAAAATCAAAAATAAAAAGATAGAATAAAATTTTAATTAAAAAGTGTTATACATATGTAATATTCTATCCATCTTTTGTTTAATTTAAATCACGTGTTACACGTGGTTAAAAATTACCCAATAAATAAAAATTACGTTGAAATTAATTTATTACTAATCATGTACCAAACGTAGGGGATTTAAACAAGACAACAATAACAACAACAACAGCAATAATAATAATAACTCTCAACATTTGTCATTTGTTTTAATTGTACTTTTATTATTTTTTAATTATTGCAACGCTATATTTTCACATTTTTTAAATAAATTATTTTTTAATTATCAATTAACGTAAACATTGTTTGTTGCCCAGACATAACAACGATTAAATGAAATTATAAAATTATTTATTTATTTATATAAAGTTGTGTTATTTAAAAGAATATAAAATATAATTATATTATAAATAAGAAATTTATGAATTTTCAAGAAATTCAAAATATGACTAATTAAAATTAATAAATAAATAGTAGATAACAAATCGTTAAACTTCAGTGTCTTCGGTTTGGCACTTTGTTCTTTCACCTAAAAGAAAGAACACAACTACACCGGAAATTTCATCCAAAACCACTATACTAACTGAAAATCAGGTCTGATACAACAAAAACATATGTTCAATCTCCAATAATAGTTTTACTAATTAACACAAACATATATATAATTTACACAAATATATATATATATATATATATATATATATATATATATATATAGTGGCGGATCCAGAAATTTAAGAACAGGGGTCTAAAATTTTAATTTTCTTTTCTTAAAAATAATGGGTATGCAAAATTTTTAATTTTTTTTTCCTTAACACATTAAACTAAATTTAATCAATTCTCCAAAATAATGGGGATGCACTTTGCCCATATGAGGGCTTGGTGCACTGATATATGTGTGTATATATCTGTAGATTCAACAGCTGGGAAGCAAGCTTTTAGTACAAAGTTCCCAAGAGAACATTGTCTTTTATGATTCCATAAACTGTTATGGTGGAGGGCTTGTTTTAGTCTTCTCTGAACCTGCAAGTTCATATGAATGTCAATATTATGACATGAAGAAACCATGACATCACACGCATTGTGCGACAGTCCGAGCATTAGGGGGGAAATGAGAGATTTTGACCTTAATGACATGTTCTTGGTATGATGTATAGGACATACCATAGATCCCTCGCATCTCTACTTCTCGCCATTATTGAACAAGGGCACAACAGCAGCACATCAAATGCGAAAGGAAATCATCGATAAAGCCACCCTGCCAGAGGAAGAAAACGGTAATGTTTTGAGGCCACTGAATGTCGAGTTAGATCAAAACTTACTATGAAGTGTGAACAATAGGAGAAGAAGGCATAGATGATAGGCAAACGGCAGAAGAACATCTGGTTTTAGCCCATTTTATCATTACATAGAATTATGGACACAGCTAAGCATGATAACAATGTTCGGACAGTTCACAGCAATATACTTATCATTGTATGATAAACAATGAGACCAAGGCTTTATGTTTTCACTAGTAGATTACTCTTTTCTGGCAGAGAAAGATACCGTAACGTTCAACGTCTTGCGAAGCTTCCTTCTAACACAGCAAGTGTAGCAACAGCATGACAATATCAACGAATACGTCATTAATTCGTTGCATGCTTCTGCAGAAGCTGCCAAATTTTGTTGTGTAAGCTTCAAAAAATCAAAATAATACCATAACCGAAAACAGAATTTTAAAGGTATCGCAGTTTGATAAAAGGCTCCAACCAGCACGCAAGCCTAAGAGGGAGAAGGTAAAATCCTTTCTTCAGGGAAGCAGAATTCTCATAGTAACTTGTTCATGGGTGCTATGCAATATAGATTATAGACACGCAGATGCATACATAATATCAGAAACACTTACACATGTGCCTGTTTGTTGCAACGGTAGCAATCTTTGAAAATGTACCACAAGGATAGAAGAATGTCTTTATACCTGCAATTAGAAAAGGTGGCTTAGGATACCAGATGATCGGAAAAAAAAGGAAGGTCTTCCACCAGATACGTCTACAGAAAAGGAAAATATACGAAGAAAGTTTTCTTTCCCTCTCTTAGAGCTAAGCAATCTCAAATTTTAAGTTGTAACTGTTGGTTTTTTGGCAAAGTCTCACATTGGTTGTGTATAAGGAGGAGGGGAAATTCTTTTGTTATAAATAGAGTCATCCTCCTTCTTAGTTAAGCATCCCACAAGTATAAGCATTCTTCACCATTAAAGTCTATTTGTACTCTTTCTCTCTTTGTAATATTTCTTCCACTAGTGAAATATTATTTTAGTAGTGTTCGAGGAGGTAGGTATAATTTTGGCCTAATCTCGTTAAATTTTGGTGTTCTCTTTATGTCTATTTAATAGCTATTGTCGGGTATAGTTGTTGTTAATTATTATCTTATTAAAATTATTTGTCTTGGTAGTTCTGTCTAAGGAAAGTGGGTTTTAAGAGGGACCATTGTGACCCCTCCTCTTTCTTGGGAATCTACTTTGAGGTGATTTTTAGTACAATCATTTTCACACTAGTCACCTAGATAATAGTTTTCAAGGTGGATTTGTTATTATTGGTGGAAATCAACCCGAATTCCACAACAATTGATATCAGAGCTCTTGGTTTATTTTAATATACTCTGTGGTTGCGGCTTAGGCTAATCTTCCACATCAAAAAAAATTTCTTGGGATAATTGGCATTCCGCATTGACAACTATTAAATATAATTTGTAGCAGAAATGACAGACGCAACAAAAACATCCACATCGTCGTCAGCAACTATGACAAATGTTAGATTTGCAGTGGAGATTTTTTATGGCACCGGTCATTTCGGCATGTGGCAAAGTGAGGTTCTAGATACCCTATTTCAGCAGGGTCTAGACATTGCTATTGAAGGAGAGAAACCAGATGATGTTGAGGAGAAAGAATGGAAGAGGATCAATAGATTGACATGTGGTACTATTCGATCGTGTCTTTCTAGAGAGCAGAAGTATGCATTTTCTAAGGAAAATTCTGCAAGTAAACTGTGGAAGGCACTGGAGGATAAATTTTTTAAGAAAAGCGGTCAGAACAAGCTCTACATGAAAAAGAGATTGTTCCGCTTCAACTATGTACCAGATACCACTATGAATGATCACATTACTAGCTTTAATCAGCTGGTGACTGATCTGATGAATATGAACGTGACTTTTGAAGACGAAGATCTGGCTCTGATGTTGATGGGATCACTTCCTGATGAGTTTGAGTATCTTGAAACTACTCTACTTAATGGGAAAGTTGATGTGTCTCTCAGTGAAGTAACTGCTGCCTTGTATAGTTATGAATTGAGAAAGAAAGACAAACAAGAAAATACAAGTGTTGAAGCAGAAGCTCTTGTTGTTAGAGGCGGTTCGAAGAGTCAGAATAAAGGAAGAAGAGGGAGATCGAAGTCAAAGTCCAGATTGAGCAAAGATGAATATGCCTTTTGTCGAGAAAAAGGGCACTAAAAGAAAGAATGTCCCAGGCTAAAGAACAAAGGCAAACCTGAAAGGGGAAAGGCTGTCTCAGAATTAAATGTGGTCGAGTATGATGATGCAGATTCAGATTTCGCATTCGCTGCTACGCCATCAACCAACTGTTCCAGTTCATGGCTGTTAGATTCAGCTTGTAGCCACCATATGACCCCCAATAGAGAATGGTTCTTTGATTTTAAAGAACTAAAAGGTGGAATTGTCTACACAACAAATAATTCCCCTCTTGACACACTTGGGATTAGTTCAATTCGCTTGAGGAATCAGGATGGATCAATCAGAACCTTAACAGGTGTCCATTATGTACCAGATTTAATGAGAAATCTCATCTCTGGGAACCTTAGAGTCAAAAGGTTTAGAAGTGAGGGAAAAAGATGGGATCATGAGGATTATCTCTGGTGCACTGATGATAATGAAGGGAATCCGAAAAAGAAACAATGTGTATTACTTTCTGGGTAGTACAATTGTTGGGACAGCAGCAGTGACAGCTTTTACTGATGAACAAGAGTCAGAAGCAACCAGGTTATGGCATATGCGCTTGGGGAATGTTGGTGAAAAATCCTTGAAATTGCTGATAGATCAAGGATTATTGAAGGGTGCTCGGGCTTGCAAATTAGCTTTTTGTGAGCATTGCATCAAAGGGAAGAAGACGAGGGTGAAATTTGGAACATCAATCCATGATACTAAAGGTATTTTGGATTATGTTCATTCAGATGTATGGGGCCTTCCAAGACAACTTCATTGGGATGAACACACTATTATGTCACTTTTGTTGATGATTTTTCCCGGAGAGTTTGGGTGTATACAATGAAGACAAAGGATGAGGTGCTAGGATTTTTCCTTAAATGGAAAAAGATGGTGGAGACTCAAACAGGCAGAAAAATCAAACGTCTCCGTATAGATAATGGTGGAGAGTACAAAAATGATCTATTTCTGAAAGTCTGTGAAGAAGAAGGTATTGTCAGGCACTTCACTGTCAGAAGTACACCACAATAGAATGGGGTGGCAGAGCGTATGAATCGAACATTAGTGGAGAAGGTTCGGTGTATGTTGTCTAATGCTGGGTTAGGCAAAGAATTTTGGGCTGAAGCTTTGGTCTATTCTTGTCACCTTGTCAACCGCTTACCATCGACTGCTATTGGTGGTAAAACACCATTAGAGAAATGGTTTGGAGTACCTGCTACAGATTATGATGCCTTACATGTGTGTTTGGTTCTACTGCATACTACCATGTTAATGAGTCAAAGGTGGACCCAAGAGCAAAGAAGGCGATCTTTATGGGGATCACCTCTGGTGTGAAAGGCTATCGTCTTTGGTGTCCAGAAACAAAGAAAATAATCTTTAGCAGGGATTTTACCTTTGATGAATCTACCATGTTGAGAAAGGTGACTTCAGAAAAATTGGAACAGATAGATGGAACTCCTAAACAGGTGGAGTTTGAAAGAAGCAGAATTGACCCAGCCAGTAAAGAAACTGATGTTGACTCTCCTATGGTAGAAGAAGAGTCAGATGAAGAAGAGGTTCAGACCCAAGAACCTCCACATCAACATGAATTAATTGCACTCAGAAAGGGAAAGAGGACCATTAGACAACCTGCTCGTTATGCTGATATGGTCTCTTTTGCATCACCAATTGCAATTGATGACGTTCCTACCACTTTTAATGAAGCAATCCAAAGTTCAGAACATAAAAAGTGGAGGATCGCCATGAATGAAGAAATGCAATCCCTTCAAAAGAATCAGACGTGGAAACTAGCTAGTCTTTCGAAGGAAAAGAAGGCAATTGGGTGCAAGTGGGTATATGCAAAGAAAGATGGATTTCCTGACAAGAATAACATCCGCTACAAAGCAAGATTGGTGGCTAAAGGCTACGCTCAAACGGAGGGAGTTGATTATAATGAAGTATTTTCTCCAGTTGTAAAAATTCCTCCATCAGAATTTTGTTGGCTTTGGTAGCACAGTTGGATTTGGAACTAGTTCAGATGGATGTAAAAACTGCATTTTTACATGGAGACTTGGATGAGGAAATCTACATGACACAGCCAGATGAATTCAAAGTTGCTGAAAAAGAAGAGATGGTGTGCAAATTAGAAAAATCGCTATACGGATTGAAGCAATCTCCAAGGCAGTGGTACAAGTGATTTGACAAGTTTATGATAGGGCAGAAGTACACAAGAAGCAAATATGATCATCGTGTATATTTACGCAAGCTACAAGACGGATCCTATATATATCTTCTTTTTTATGTTGATGATATGTTGATAGCTTCCAGGAGTCAGACATAAATTGCAAAAACTAAAGACTCAATTGAACAGGGAGTTTGAGATGAAGGATCTTGGTGAAGCAAAGAAGATTCTAGGCATGGAGATATCAAGGGATAAGAAATTGGGGAGGCTTTGTTTGTCTCAGAAAGAATATCTGAGGAAGGTACTAAAACGTTTTGGCATGAATGAGAAGTCAAAACCAGTTAGTACACCTCTTGCTCATCATTTCAAGCTCAGTGCATCCATGTCACCTAAGGATGATGCGGAACGAGAATACATGTCAAAGGTTCCATATGCAAGTGTTGTTGGTAGCTTGATATGCAATGGTGTGTACGAGACTCGATATTTCACAGGCAGTTGGGGTTGTGAGCAAGTATATGCATGATCCTGGAAAGGAGCATTGACAAGCTGTGAAATGGATTCTGCGGTATATTCTGAACAACGTAGATGTTGGTTTGGTCTTTCAGCAGGACAAACAAGATGGTCAGTGTGTAGTTGGGTATTGTGATTCAGACTATGAAGGTGATTTGGACAAGTGTCGATCAACTACTGGTTATGTGTTTACTTTTGCAAAGGCACCAGTCAGTTGGAAGTCCACCTTACAGTCACCAGTGGCTTTGTCTACTACAGAGGCAGAGTATATGGCAATTACAGAGGCTGTGAAGGAGGAAATTTGGCTTCAAAGGTTGCTTGGTGAATTGAGAATGGAACAGAAGCACATCAAAGTGCATTGTGACAGTCAGAGTGCTATTCATTTAGCAAAGAACCAGGTTTACCATGCAAGGACGAAGCACATCGATGTTCGATATCACTTTGTACGAGAGATTCTAGAAGAAGGTGGAGTCATAATCTAGAAGATTCGGACCACTGAGAATCTTGCTAATATGTTGACAAAAGTGGTAACTGTGGTCAAGTTTAAACATTGTTTAGACTTGGTCAATATTGTTACAAATTGAAAGATGAATTTGTAGACACTCTGAAGATTGAATTTTTGAGAGATGTGTGTGTAATTTTCCAAGGTGGAGATTTGTTGGTTTTTTGGCAAAGTCCCACATTGGTTGTGTATAAGGAGGAGGGGAAATTCTTTTGTTATAAATAGAGTCATCCTCCTCCTTAGTTAAACATCCCACAAATATAAGCCTTCTTCACTATTAAAGGCTATTTGTACTCTTTCTCTCTTTGTAATATTTTCTATACTAGTGAAATATTATTTTAGTAGTGTTCGAGGAGGTAGGTATAATTTTGGCCTA